GTGAGCCACACTAAAACCAAGACACTTGGGGGTCACACACTAAAATCAAGACACTTGGACGGGTACTTCTTTCCGACACCGTAGCGTTCGCAGATCGGGTCAAGCACGCCCTTGGGAATCGTTGACAACCCCGGCTGAATGCCCATCGCAATTTCTACCGCCATGGCATAGCGCCTACCAACCGATAACTCGGTGCCCCTTTTGCGAGGTGGTGTGCTGGGGGGCGATTCCATCGCTAGAGTGAGTAGTGGGCCGGTAGGGTACTAATATCAGATGGTTTTGAGATTTTTTTCGAGAATTCTCAAAAACAATCCCATAATATTTTCTCAAAAATATTCCCAAAACAGGCCAAAATAGGGTATATTTTGACCGATATTAGGTACAGAGATAGATTTTCGTTTTTTTATTTTATTTTTTCTATCGCTTCTTGTTTGTTATATCTTTCTTACAAACCCGACTATGCTACCATCACTAACACGGTTGCACCCAGACAATCTATTACATTTAGGTACCCTAACTTATGATACAGAGGAAGTATATCATCTAAATTGTTCACGTTTGTTAAATGTTTTTGTTCGGTGTGAAGCTTCATGACTCTGTGCACACATAACCTGAAGAATCCCCCCCCCCCCCCTACTTCCCCTGCGAACGCTCCGTCCGACGCTGTGGTGGTTTGTTTCTGTTCTGGCTTGCGTCTTTTAATTGCGTCATGCGGCTGGCGCAAACCGTCCGCAGGCTACGTTCCTCAAGAAAGAGCTCCTGCACTCGATGCAGGCCATCGACGAGCTCTTTCAAGCAAACCAGGCGAGTGCGGGCGCTTTGTTCACCGCAGCAGCATATTGTAGCGCCCACAGCAAAATTTTCGCGCTTGCTTGGGTTTGTGTGCATGAATCTTTGACTTGATCAATGCCCGGGATATTTACACATGTCGGGGTTGTACGGGGTTGAAGCGAACACCTGAGGAGTATGCGCGAGTGTGCGCAGTGATATTTGTGCGCGCGATGCCTGTTCTGGCCATCATATACGCCACTCTACCCCCCGCATGCGCCTCAGCGATGAAATGTAAGTACCTCATGAGAACTTGGGACAGGAATAGAAGCACTCAACGTTGGACGTCAGTGTAGGTTAGAGAGGCTCGGAGCTTGCTTAGTTTAGCAACTCGCTCGATAGAAGTGGGGGTAGAACAGACGACCGGAGTTCAAGAGGTCTATACCTCCATCGCGTCAAATCGAATGGCATTGATTGTGCAACGCGCAAGTTGTCCTTGGAAAGTGGCAACGCTACGTGTCCTCTACAAAACGAGGCAGTTGGTGCGCGTGGATTTGTCCACTGTTGCGCCTGAGCACTGATCCAGCCATACGCGCAAGCGTTATCGGGTGGGCGGACGGACTGATTGGTTCGCACGCGCGCGTTCGGCAGCTCTCAGGCGCCGCCAGCTCACCTCGTGGACTTTACAGCGATTATCCCAACTCAAAAGCCACATTAGCAGCCCCACCAATGGTCGGCCCGTTTTCCCCGTTCTTGCCGGGCGGATGTGTCTTGCGCTGCTGCTGCTGCTGCTGCCACTGCGAACCCGCAACAGGTCACCCTTAGGCTGATCAGCGTAATACCGGCAGCGCTCCTCCTCTTCGCGGTGGCCAAGGTGTCCGGGCCTTTCGTGCACGCGGCGTCCTCCCGGCGGTTGGAGCCCACGACCGCCGTCCACCGATCCATGCGCGCCTCCCTGCGGGAGATCGAGCGGCTGCTGACGTCAAGCAGGCAAGAGCGTGCACCAAGCACGATTCGTTTTGTTTTCTTTTGCTGAGGCCGACCAAATATCCGTACACCTGTTCTGCTACTTTATGTTAGGGCGTAGACTGCGGGCATCTGCACCCAAGTCCCGAAGCAGCCTTGAGGTCGCATCTAGATTTTTTTTTTTTAAGTCTTGGAGACGAACACGATCGGCCTGTCGCCCGGCTTCATGCGGCGATACGTTTGGTGAGGAAAATATTCCCTGGATGCAGTCAGGGGCGGGCGGACGAAGACGTAGGGGATCCCGCGCACGTGCCGTTTGCTGTTGCTGGCACGGCCTGCAGTTGCCCAGGCTCACGCTCGTTTTCCCGGTGCGGCCACGGCTGTCAACTGTTGTAAGCCACACACCAGGTGCATTGGGTAGTCAGGCAGCCGGTGGATTTAGAACGCTTACTGTTGTGGGTGTCTAGGTTGTTGTCGCCGATGATGTCGTTAGTAAATCTTGGAGCGAGGTATGCAACAACATCCGACTTGACAACAACGACGTGCAGGGGGTTCGTGGGAAGCCATGAGCCCGTCGGAGAGGAGTTAGAGGGATTCGCGAGCCGTGGCCTCCTGCAGGACGAAGAGATGGGAAAACTGGCGGTGAGGGGGCACGTTGACTGCGAACTATCTCAGGTCTCACTGGAGAGAGTAAGAGGCTTGCGGGACACATGGTACCATATTGTACATAGTTGCTGTTATGTCCTCACGACCGTGCGTTGCAGCCTCCTTATTATTTATTTCTGGGGACGGCCAGAGGATGTCCCCGGACAACCGCCTTCAGCACGCGTTTTTCATTGTACGCGTATCCTTGCGTGTTTTTTTCCCGCATGGGATATGCCCAGACTGGCTGGCAGCCAGGATCCTCACATATATCAGGGCACACGTTCGTTCCATGGTGCGCGCATGGGTGTTACTTTGGACGTTATTCGTCCGCGCCGGGATGAAGAATGGTTCAATCGCCAGAAGTATTTGTACAACGCCTGGTGTCCAGGCCAGAAGGCAGTACGCGAGACATCATCATCAGGAAGTTTTCGTTCGACTGTGGTCTTATATTGTCTCGAATGGGTAGTCTTCCTGTGTTTGTGTTTACGTTTCCTAATAAAGTTTTCAGCACTTTCCACCATTGTGACTAGTCCAACAAGCTCTGTGCCATCTTTTGGCACTGACTGGCGAAGGTGTACCAGGTCAAGAGTTCTCCGGTTGGTTGTCACCCTATTTTGCTCGACCCTGTACAGCTTTCTCCGCGGCCTTCCTTCGTTTTGGCTCCGGGCAGAGTCTGCGCGCGATTTTTCTCATCGGTAGACCCCGCGCTGAAGATAGTTCAGAGGACACCCTCCGCACACCAACACCCTGGACAGTAAAAGCCTCCTCCACTCCGGCCGTACAAACTCCTAGTGTAGGCCTACTGGTACCGAATAATGACGACATCCGGTAATTCTTTGGGCCAAATGGCCCGAATCAAACACAGGTCATGTATGGTAACGGGTACACCTCGCTCTTCCCCGTTTGTGATCATTTGTTTCCGATCTGTCTCTCGTCGAGAAAAGCTCCACGTGCACGAGCTGCAGACCACCTTGAGGCAAAACGCCTCCCGCTTCGACTCCAGGACGAGGAGGAGGCTGGAGGAGGACCTCGCCGACCTGATGGCGCGGGGCCGCCCGACGGTGTCGCAGCAGATCGCGGTGGTGCACCGCATGCAGCGTTCGTACCCGTTTCTCCGCGCGGGCGGAGACAGCGGAGGAAGAGGAGGAGAAACGTAGGCAGTGAAAAACGTTTTTGGTACCATGCTCAGAAGATGGTTGCGGTATTTACCTCAGTATATTCGCGTATAGAGCGCGTCACACTTGGAGAACTGAGAGTTAAAGAATCTCAGGCTAAAAGAGAGATAAAACCCAAGAGGTTGGTCTGAAGAACAGGTGCTCAGTTCAGAATCGTACAATAGAACTTTTGTGCCATGTATATTTGTTGGCTTACTCCCATAACCACCCACAACCCACAGCGGCAACAAGAATAGAACCTCGGGCAAGAATAAGAGGTTCTCAATTGGTGACGCCTACGTAGGAGGAGCGTGCGCTCGACATAAGAAATGTGCCGGGACCGGTTGCTTCTCGCGGATGCAGTGGTGGAGGGTGATGGTGGAGGCGAGGGCAGTCAATGAAATTAAGGTTCGAGAAGAGCCTTTGTATGTGATACTGAAGTATGAAGAGAGGCTACAGGTTAGACTACGCATAGCAAGATATATATGCATAGAATGGAGCGTGCTCTTCTGCGATTGCGTTGACGCGCTAGATGCAGCTGGAAAAGCGGCACCGTTAGCGAATAGGCGGCCGGTGTGGCCAGTTGAACCCTTCATTAAGGCCCTCCCCGCCGCACCCTTCGCAGTTTGGAAAGTTCAAGTGGGCGGGCTATTTCGTGAGGTATTGCAGTAGGCAAGCAACCAGTTGTGGTTGAAGATGAGGGCGAGAGGTCGGCGATGAAGCAAGAGATTGAGAGGCCATGATGACACTGCGTCCGTAGAAATGTGCGCGGAAGGTTCTGTGCAGACGAGGAGGTGCCGTGAAGAATAATGCGTTCGCTTGGCGGAAGGGACACGCTTGGTTGGCACGTAGAGGAGCCATGTGCCGGGGAGGGTGTGCGTGAAGAATGATGCATGGCTCCATGACTCTGAAGTGGTACTGAAGCGCCCGACGTCCGTCCCTAGAAGCGTGAGCGAAAGGATCCGCGGAGGCGCGGGGGTGGGTGGGTGGGTGGGGGGTAAGTCTCGCAGCTGGACGAAGCTCAGCCCCTCATCGCTCTCTGTCGTATTTGATAATTCGAAGTACATAGTCTACAGTAGGCGCCTTCATTGAACGTTTCTCTTCGTGTGTCACAGCAGGACGAGCCGCTTTTCGTAGTCGGTCGGTTTGGCGGTCGGTCTTTTTGTGTTTTCTTCGCAACCCCCGGGCGTGTCTGCCCTGTCTCTTCGGGTGGCCAGGGAAGTCCGCGGTGCCGCAAGACTAATTGGCTATGTATTTCATTTACCAACACTTGAAGTACGTGTACGGAGGTGAATTTGTCGGGTGTCGCCCAGCGCAGGAAGAGCCGTTTAGGCTGGTTTTAGAAACGATAATTAAGGTTGTCTTACAAGATTGTGCGTCATGGCACTTGAACCCGAGCCGGGTGAAGCCGTGTTGAGGGCGCGCGCGTGCGTGGGGCGGGCGGGGGGGGGAGGCTGTTCGCTTGAAAGGGTTCTTATCTGTTAACGTTTTGGGGGCGTGCGTAATTTAGTGTTGTAGACTAGTGTTCAATGTTAAATTTAGTGCACAGTCTTGCTCTATCTTGCTGTTAGCTCTCCTTTTCCTCTTACCGTGCAGTCCGGTCATGAAGAGGAAAACTCCCCACACTAAACTGCCGGCCCGACAAACTGATGAGTTACCTCCAACAACGACGACCCGCTTCTTTTGTGTCCGGAACGACCTCCGGCAACAATCCTCTCCCTGACGATTCCGCTTACGCCCGGGAGACGGTACGCGCCAGGCCGGGCTAGCAGCTGCGCGGGCAAGTTTTTCCGCATTGCGTGCAAGGAATTTGAGTCACTCATATGTGCAACACGCTCTCGCCAAGAGCCCGCTAGATTCATCACGCAGTGCACGCGCCGTCACCCCAGATACGACAGGTCTGCCTCGGACCTTCTCTGCACACAATCGGGTCCTTTCTGTACCGTACCTCGATCTCGAACCTCCGACAACACCTTGTGAGTTGACATACCTTAAATTTCCCACCGCCGCTTCCGTTTTCAAGCAGTACAACTTCCGCTGCGGGAGAAAAGAGAGACAAAAAGGCTTCAGTTGAGGCCGGGGCTACCCCCCGGGCTGTTGTGTAGTGTTCGAATTTAATTTTGTGCACAGTCTTGCTCTGTCTGGCTGTTACTCCAAATGTCAAGTTAACTTTAGCGCACCTTCTTATGCGCCATCTCATGTAGTCTTCTAGAGCTGTCAATCGAAATAATGATGAAGAACGTGAGGTTTGGTGCTAAGCTGGGGGGAAGGCTGCGTGATTGATTCTTCAACAAGTCTTGCGATTACAGCAGTATCGCCTCTAGTCTATTCCGTTTATTATGAACAACGCCGGTACCCTACNGAATAGTTCTGTAGCACTCTCGCACAATACAGAATAGTTCTGTGAGGTTCTGTAGCACTCTCGCACAATACAGAATAGTTCTGTGAGGTTCTGTAACCCCCTCGCACAATACAGAATAGTTCTGTGAGTTCTGTGACACCCCCGGTACCCTACAGAGAGTACCTGTACCCTACAGGGGGCCCCCAAATTCTCAACAGCAGTATGCACGTATTGTTGTTGTTGTTGTTGTTTCTCACATTAGCTCTAAAGAAGAAAGATTGGGAGCCCGTGGTCTCAAAACCCGGCATACACGACCCCACGAAGAAACAGAAAAAAAA